GACCTGTATGAGATTACAAATTACGATCTCTACTCGATACTTGTACTATGTTGTGATTATATATATATAATTATATATGCTGTGACCTTTAATTTCATTAAGTTCCTAGCCATTACCCCTTGTAGCCCAGTACAAAACATATACAAACACATACGTGATCAAACATTTTCCCGAAAATCTGTTCAGATGTTGTTAGTCGTATGTGGAACATATCCGTCATGCATTGAGGCACTGGCTATTTTCCCCCTGTAGCAAACACACATAAACTCATGCTGTGACCTTGACCTTTAACCTAAACATGTAGCAAGGTCTTATTAATCGCACATAGAATATTGTGTGCAAATTTTATTGACTCTGGCTATTTTTATTTTTCTTATGTAGTTATATGGTACAAAAAAACCCTGTGCTTTTGTCACAAAAAGTTTGCTCTACGACATATGCCAAAAGATGTGCCACGTTTTGTGTTATAATACGGATTGACATACATACATTTCAGTTTTTATTATATGTGTAATAATATAACATCCTCTATTTACATATTCAAATCTCAGACTGTTAATACAAAACCTATTAGGTATCAATATTTGATTACGAAATATTACGAGTATATATCACATTATGAATTAATCCATACAGGCATCATATAAAGCATAATAATATAATTATTAAGTACAGTATATGAAATAGAATTCGTAAAATTATAACAATGTAAAATAAGTTAATACAATAATAATATTTAAAAACACTACAATATTTATTAATAGCATATTGTCTTATTTTTTCCGCCACCGTGACTATCCAGTACATCAAAAACGTGGTATCTATCTATCCAGCACTGTACGGTGCCATTTGTACGCCACTGTGCTTCAAACACAACCATAGTTATAGGAACCAGAACTAGAAAATGATGACGTTCACTGAAGCAGATACTTCTAATACCTGGATGGATGGAGATGTCAGACTTTGGTAGTGAGAAGATACATTGAACAATAAAGAAATCTCTCACTAGGTGGAAGTGTAGATGTAGATCCATATATTTGGCCAACATTTTTTATTATTAACTACACTGAACAGATGACCCAAGTTTGCGTCGAGTATGTGGCATTAGTTTCCAGATCGTCGAACACTTTGTACCAATTACTATACCCCGGAACTGTCATGCATGTGTTATGGAATACAAAAGAACGACCCGAAGCGTTCACACTGCGTACACAATGTGCTGATAACTTTAATGAGGTTATGACGTAGACATATCTCATGAATATTATTTTAAGGTGCAATTATTAATAGAAAGCATTTAGTATGAAACGCCGCAAGCACATATTTTCGGTCTTAGCTTCCACCCTGTCGATTGTGGTTATTAGAAGACTGTACACGCTTTCTACCATACTCAGCTAGTCACCAGATTTAACAAATGCTGCTGTGTCTTATACTATAAGTCTGCCTTTGCGAGTCACTGCTGATTTCGAAACTATACAGCGCCACCTGTGGCTGTTCCCGGCTCTATATGTGCCCAGCGACTTGGTGAGCATATGGTAATTGTAGTCTCCCGTAATTCTGTGTTAGGCGAGTAGTGGGGCATTGTACCACATATACATCAGAATCATCATTAACTTTCTTATCTCTTGTAATGTGAATCGCAGTTTTCACCGCCACACAAAGGTAACATAGAATACAATTTGTTTGTGTTATTGCGTAACGTTTTGGCGGACCAAGAACGTAGTAGGAGACGGGTGCACTATCCAAACAAAACATAATAAGGACAATTGATATGAAAATGACAAAGATTCGTTTCAGTTCGCGGCATTCAAGAAAAATATGTAGCAAATCTTTTTCACAAAAACAGCAATTGTTAGTTTCTTGGATATGGGATATTTGCAAGAAGCTACTCGTGGGAGAGTCGTCACTGTAAGTCGCCATCATTTATACTATAGGTGTTAACTTAAATATCAATCGTAAAAAATATATATTTCTGTCCAAAAATAACTTATTTTTGTAACTTAAAAGAGTTGATAACGCAAAGGAATATCTTTTTCTACATCCTTGTACAATAATATAGAGAATTGGTGACAACGTGGGAGATAAAATTATCCCCGAGTTTTGCCAATAACAGAGTTAGTAGTATTAGTTGTGTAGTGATTCTCAAAAATGTTGGTAATTTTGCGTAAATTGTGCTGTTTTGATTATTATTGTATTTTCTGCCGGTGAAGTGAAGTGAAGTTGCGAGAAAACACTGTTTGAGGCGGTATAGTTCTGTGCAGTATATCAAATGAAACATGAAATAGCCTTCTCGAATATTGCAACAAACCCTGCATACCACTCGCAGTTCGCAATTTATGAAGCAATGGTTCCAATACACAGATAGAATACCGCTATCCGGATAATGAACAGCCTTTACTATAAGCAGTAAGATTGCTGTTCACTCGAACAAGAGACTGAGTTTGGTAGTATAGAAGTCTGATATATTTAGTGAAATTCTCACCAAACCAAAACGCCTTGAGATTGTTGAACAAGTACTCGTCAGTGGTGTACACGGTCAAAAGCGTTTTCCCAATCCAAGGACACAATGCCAAGAGATGAGTTGATATCATTAGCATACGTGATGACGTCACGTACAAGGTGAGAGCTTTGGACAGTATCTTTTAATCAGAGCATAGTATACTGGCCGGACGCCAATTCTTTAACAAATTATTATTTCCATTTTAGGTAAAAGAGTGATGACGGCTCGTCATCATGAAAACGGTAGCTCTTCATCTTCGATCGAGACTAGAATGACTTCACTCAAGTAGATGGGCCAAGCAATTGTTATACAATTCGCCTGGAAGCCCTTATATACCTGGCTTTTTAGCCGAATAAATTGATAAAACTGACGCAGTAAGCTATTAAAACGTGAGCTCCATGTCACACTTTCCTTTTAATCATCGTCATCAATATAAATATCTCGTTTCACAGCTACAACAAAAAATATTTGCCCCCAACAATAACAGATATTGCCTGTACACAAGCTTTCATTCCTACTTGCCATCAACATACTCGCACTCGTGCTTTCCGTGGGAGCGCCTATCTAGTAAAAATAAATTCAAAGCGAAAATAAAGTATTTCCCAGTACGCGGGGATAGATAGATACATGGACTGGAAATCGAGTCTTGAATTACAGTAAAGCCAAATCTACGTCATCCTCAAGAAAGAACGCGTGTTTCCGAGAAAGAAAATATTAACCTATTTATCATGAATAAGATATCATCTACTTTCTATAGAAAGTTGGGGGTGCAATCTTCATAATAGGAGAGGCTGTATTAATATAAATGTATGTTTATTACATTAATAAAAAACTATCAACGTCACAATTTACATTCATTACTTCAAAACTCGTCCACGTCACCTTAACAACGGTGGTTACAGGTCCGCTGTACGTCACGTGCTACGTCATTCCTAACAAAATCATTAAATATATGACATATTGGTATAAATGGACCAATTCTAATCAAATCGAAAATCTATCCACTGGCGTCATGATATTTCGCCAAGTTTGTGTATATCATGGCACAGTGACGTCGAGTGCAAACCCGTTCTGATTAGTCACTAGTTTAACCATATTTATAACAATAATATTGATATTTTCTTTAATCTCCTTGTGGACTCATGCTGTTTAAAATTCCGACCAAGTTGTTTATGTTTATTTTGGGAATTATAATCATGGGTACTACACCAATTCGAACTTCAAGACCTATCGACATATCCCTGAGCAAGATTGTTTTCCAGGCAATACAAAATGCGTAGATAAATGACAGATGTGTTTTAAAACAGTTCAATTTTAAAAAGGGTAGTAATCTTATTCCGGACTTCAGATTACTTAATGGTTAATACGTAATTGAGTCGCTCAAAAAAATTCTTGTAGTTGCGTTAGGGGTTAGAAATAAGATATCGTATACAGTAATACAGTGCACAGGACTGTGTACAGTGGTTATGTTAACCTACTACGTGACATGGAGCAGCAAATTAAGACACTGTATGATTGTATCTAGGTTGCATGATGTCATACCTATGTAAATTAGTCTGTACGGTCTTACGCGCAAAGTGTTTCTTGAATATATTAACGGTTTGATGAATATGCGTCATACGTCGTCGTCTGCATTTGTTTCAAAGATCGGATCTTCGTACTCGGCACCATCTGCGTTCTGATCTTCCACCAAGTCCTGATATACATTCGAGTTTGTCTGTTTGCGGAGAAGTGCGGTGTAGCCACTACTATCTGGCCCCTTTCGAATGATGACGGTCGGTTCAGTTTCCTCGCGACCTGGGTCTTCGTATATATGCTGGTCATCATCATCATCACTACGTTTAGATTCAGGTTGCTTAGTCTGGTTTTGTTCCCGATGGATGTACCCAACGTGGTACGGGGTCGCCGCATCAGTTGATCCGTTAGACGGCGGTGATGATGGTTGCGTGTATATATTTTCATTGCGTTTATTCCTTCGACGGAAAGAAACGTTCCTGGTTTTTAATAAGAACACAATGACTATTATTATAAATACCAGACAGATGCCGGCAAAAAAGGCACCTAGTAAGGGACCGATCAGTGATTGTGATGTCATTTTCTCAATTAGTGGTAATGGAGTTGCTCCTTCACTGAAATTAGACAAATTGTTAATCGGGTATTTGGCGTACCCACTGCCCACGATATTGCTAGCTTCGCAAACTACCACCGAAGAAGACAAACGAAGGTCACTGACAAAGGGAAGTATCAATTCGATTATATGGGGACTGTTCGAGTCAATTTGCATAGAAGTAACAATAACGTTATTCACACTCCATTTAAATTGGGTTGATTTTGGAGTGGCATCCACTTCACATAAAATTCTCATAAATATTGTGTTATTTTTCTCGCTGTAATCTATAGATGCAGTTTGTACACTTACTCGCGGGGCGTAGAAAACCGTCATCGGTCCCACCGTACAAACGTGGCTTTCGTCGAAGGTAGGATGTGACGCCACACATGTGTAAGTGGCATCCATGTCATCCATTGTTATTATGCGAGACAATGTCGCATTGTTTGTATGTAAGATGCCACTGACATTCTCGAGCATTTCACCGCTCTTTGCCGACGTCCGGTACCACTGTAGTTCAGGAAATGGCGATCCGCCGGGTAGATTGCAATTCAGTTCGGTCTCCATGCCTTTAATAAAACTGCCATTACTGGACGTAAACGTACACACTGGGTATTCCGCTGCTGGCCGTTGCATTGCCACTATCATCACCGGTCTGCCAATAGAAACATCGCCCTCCGTCGAACATGAATACACCCCGTCGTCACTGGAGTCCTGGAAGTTTTTTATGTGTAACGTATAGTTGAATGGAAGCAACGCGTCAATGTTACTCTTGTCATATCCACTGATCTCCAACTCGTGTTTACTAGGGGCTCGATCACATCGTCTGCTAAATTTACGAAACGGTAACCGCAGAGTACAGACTATCTGCCCGTCCATATTCCAATAAAATTCGGTCAAATCAGAGTTCGTATTAAGTGGCCCAGCTGTACACACCAAGTATACATCGCCTGTCATTGGAACATAATATGTACTCTTCGTGGCAGTGTCAGTGAGAACAACCAGCTGGCTGATCGACTCCCCAAACGCCAATTCTGCAAGTAATACGAGCACCGCTACAGCAACATGATTTATCACCGGCCCAAACCATGGTGCGAACGGTACGATACG